CTCTCCGGGCCGGTTGAGGGGCTCCTGCCGCCCTCGGGGCCGCCCCGCAGGCGAGCGGCAAAGCCAAGGCACCTGTGGCCAGCGCAGCCCCAGCCCGGGGTCGGGCAGCCGGGTCGGTGTTCCCTGGCAGGCACATGTGTTACCAATAAAGATCTGGGGGTGCGTGTGGCATTTCAGGGCAGCGGTGGCTGAAGCGCGGCGGCCCCAGAGCTCTCGCAGCTGCCGTTCCCAGCCCGTGGGGGAAGGAGGGCTACAGAGCCCTGATGTGTGCGAGTTCCATGGTGGGGAAGTCCTGAAGAACTCCAGAGAGGGGCTTCCATTGTGATGTAGACATGCAGAACCTGTCCTGTTCTGTTGTGATGGAGCCTGCAGAACCCCACTGTGAGTTCCTTGGGATGCAGGTGTGCAGAGCCCAGTGCAGGATCCCCATTGGGATGAAGGTGTGCAGAGCCTGCTGTGTGATCCTCATTGGGATGAAGGTGTGCAGAGCCTGTTGTGTGATCCCAGTTGGGATGAAGGTGTGCAGAGCCTGCTGTGTGATCCTCATTGGGATGAAGGTGTGCAGAGCCTGCCGTGTGATCCCCGTTGGGATGAAGATGTGCAGAGCCTGTTGTGTGATCCCCGTTGGGATGAAGGTGTGCAGAGCCTGTTGTGTGATCCCTGTTGGGATGAAGGTGTGCAGAGCCTGTTGTGTGATCCCTGTTGGGATGAAGGTGTGCAGAGCCTGTTGTGTGATCCTCGTTGGGATGAAGATGTGCAGAGCCTGTTGTGTGATCCCCGTTGGGATGAAGGTGTGCAGAGCCAGTTGTGTGATCCCTGTTGGGATGAAGGTGTGCAGAGCCTGCTGTGTGATCCCCGTTGGGATGAAGCCTGCAGATCCCCACCAGGAGCTATGTGGGGTCTGGGCTGTTTGCTCCCAGTGCCCTAGGGAGTGCTGGAGGTTTGTGCAGAGTGATGCTGCATTAGCCAGGATGACGGTGGATGAAGAAAAGCTGTACTGGAGATGACCTCTTTTTAGGGTCAGATCTTGATGGCTGACTTTTGGATAGCTCACCAGGAGAGCCTCTTGGTGTTTTATCCTTCTACATTAACTGGTGATTGAGTTTTTTTCAAGAGACCTGAAACAAGCCTTTGACGCCCTGTAGTCCTTTTGGACCTTGGTGGTCCTGTGTGCCCACAGTGAGACAAGTGGCTGTGTCTTTAAGAAGCAGAATTAAGCAAGTGTGTTTTTCGCTTGCTTTCCAGAAGTAGTTATTAGGTTTGAAGGATCGGTTATCTGATCCAGCATGACAGATGGATGCAATGTTTTTGTCTGTGATGACTAAACCTATAGTGATTGCATAAATAACTTCAAGGTACATGTTCTGATTTCATTGTAAGTGTGTTTACATGTAGGTGTATGTATATACTTAAAAAAACCCCAACAACAAAACCAGCACAGAAAATCTCAGTGGTGATCCTCTGCCATGAATGGCTTGAAAACTTTGCCCTTTTTGCATCTGTGCCCCGATAGTGAAGTGACTCTCCCTAACATAGCTGTGAGTTCAACCTGCTGTCCATGAACTGTCTGAGACTTTGTGGAAGGCAGCTCCAATCTCATTCCAGCTTGTTGCCTGCAGAGATCCAGGAGAGCTCTAAGTGCCAGCAGTGATGCTGTCCCAGCTGCACTAGCTCACGGTGGGAGGGTCATTCATGGGGTGGCATGGTCCTATCCCTGGCTGGCAGAGCCTGATAGCTGGTACTCAATTCTCTGCAGCAAATAGCTCGTGTTGCTTGAAGTATTCAAACCCTGCTAAAATGTCTGAAGTCAAAGATACAGCTTTGCATTCGCTGAAAGCTATTCACCCGGAATATGCACCCGGAGCTATTTGGTAAGTACTGGTTGCATCGTCCTGGTTAGCAGCCTGTTTGTTTCCTGTGGGATTTTATTTTACCTCACTGTGGACCTGTGTATCTCATGCTTTTAAGCATTTGACTCCTGTCATGTATTGCTCTACAGTTATACTTGAGTTATGTCTTTCCCTGGTAATACACTGTGGCATTTCTGCTGCTCGCTGAACCCGGGCACTATCGGTAGCGGCTGGATGTGAAGCTGTGTGCTTCTGAGAATTGGTGTGTGTTTACCAGGGAAATTTCCTGGATCAGCAGGAAATCTTGGGCTGTTGTTGTCTGCTTTAATGAGCAAAGGTACCTGCTGAGACCCCTGCTGAAAGCAGTGTACGCTAAAGCGTGGTTCAACGATGAAGTGCTCCTGGGAGAAACTACAGACCTCCAGAATCATTGGAGTAGTTCTTAATCTACTGAAGATCCTGTTTAATGCTGGCAGGCTACAATTGCTGTGTGGCAACTGCATTTCTGCAGTGGGAGGAGTGTCTTGAGGGACTGAAATGTCCTTATTAAGAGGTTCCCAGGCTGACTTCTGGGACCAGCTTCTGCCATTGCCTTTTTTTTGTAAACAACCACCTAAGCTGCTTGGAGGTTGACTTGCATTGCATTTTAAGCTAGTTCATAAACAAATATCAGCTGAAATACAAGAAGGATTTTCTAACTGTTTATAAAATAGTTTTCCCATGAGACCAGTTTCTATATAAACAGTTTTTACATAGATTATTGTGATGTTGAAGTCATAGGGCATCACTGAAGATATTTACAAGGGTCATTAACAAGTCTTGACTGCTCATTTTAAATGGCTGCTTTTAGTCATAAGGAAAGATAGGCTTTTTAACAGTTAATCAGGCTGTCAATATGGTGAATGTGTTGTGGTTTGTGTGTTTGGGTTTTGTTTGTTTTCCCCCTGAATGATACCAGTGATACTGGATGAAGGAGAACTGTTCAAGAGAGGTATGTTGGCCTCCCATGATTTCCAGCAGACAGGGATATGGGCTTTCTTAGGTGGTGGACAGAGTAAACTTCATACTCAAGTCAACCAAAATAAAATGCAAACTAACTACAGCATTTTAAAGAAATCCAGCACTGAAAAAAAGAGAGGAAAAAAAAATCTCAACCAAAAGTCATGGATCACATAGCTAGAAGGAACATGGTGAAGATAAAAACCTGGTGCTGCAATCTGCTGTGGGCAAGAGCAGGGTGGACAATTTGGCTGTGCTTGTTCTGGTGTACTTTTGAGGGTAGCAGGTGCCATTTTGATCTCAGACTTTCTCTGTGAAAGCAAACATTATTAAACAAATGCTGGCGTGTATTTCTCCCATGCAATACTAGTCACGTTTTGGGCTCTCCAGAATGGCCACATGGCAGATCTGTCTGTGCCTTGGAGCCATTTCTGATGGACGGTTTATAAAAGCCAACTGCAGAACTCCAAACTATTTCCCACACACTTGAGAGGGATTAGCTAATGCTTCAGTGCCGTGCTTCAGTGATGAAGAACAATGTTGTCATATTGTTGGCAGAGTTAACTTGGGACTGGAAAATCCATTGAGCAAGGAGTATTATTGGTTCCTGGCTGTGCTGTACCATTTCATGGGTGCTCTTAGGCAATGATTGGCCCTAAGAGGGGATCCCAAAAGGATTTGTACAGAACAGAGATACAGCTTTAGTCCTCAAGATCTCTTCTCAGCTTCTGGCTGGTCCTTATGATTCTGACACAAAGTGAACTGTGGCTGGAAAACTTCCTGAAAATGTCTGCAGACTTCTTACTAAGAAACTCCTGCTTTCACCACAGTGAGCTGCTTTGTGCTAGGCCCCAAACTAGGGAAACTAAAAAAGTGAACCAGTTCCAGTCCTTGTACAAAGACTTAGTACCCATGCTGAGCAGCAAGAGAATGGAGGGTGGCATGAAAAGCAGCTGCTCAGCACCTAGTCTGGAAGTGGATTTTGCACAAAGAGGAAACAGGAGAGGAATTGCTGTCCTACACAGTAATGCTTGTCAACCAGAGCAGGTGTCCTCCCCTAATCCAGAGGGATCTGCTCTCTGTGAAGCACAGTGGTCCAGACTTGTGCCAGTATCTTCCACTTCTTATCATCTGTGAGTTGCTTTAACTCCGTAGTTTGTGTCGGCTGTTTTTGACATATTTCATGCTGGGAACTCCTCAGCTCGTGGTGGCCAGAGGTTAACTCAGCTGAGAGCTGCCTTCTACTGAAATGTGCCTACTTTCTCAAGACTAGGTTTGTGCTTTTAACAGATGTCTAATTCTCTTTTCCCTCTAGGCCAGGGAGGTTAATTGGAGGAAAGTGACTGTACATCGGGCCCAAGAGCCTCCTACAGAGATACTTGGCACAAATAAATCAGCCTATTTTTGATGAATAACAAGGCCCCAAAGGCTCTAGTTCTTGCTGCCTGCACAAATTGCAGGTATAAATTTCACAGCTGATCACAGGGACTCCAGAATTCAATTAACTCTCAGCTCATTTAAAAAAAAATGCTGCCTGCCTATTTAATTATGAGTGTCACTGATACTACACATGCTGTTCAGGAAAACTCCAATTAATAAAGCATTGCATCATTAATATGAGTGACAGCATGAAGCCTGTGACTCTCTGAGGAGTCTGCCTTGACCCTCTGCAATGACAGACTTGGGATTTAATGGAAAGGGGAATCCTTTTCTGCAGGTTTGGGTGATGCTGAGGGAGCTCCATGCTTTGCAGGCTGTTCCAGATGCCCTGATTTGTGGTTGGGATGTAATGTAGTGTTGAGAACTGATGATTTAGACCTTCTGGTATTTGGGTAAACTTCTAGGGTCTCTGATTGTGGGGATGGGGCTGCATAGAGACACAGGGGCAAAAATCTACAAGGATTTTTGGAAGGAAAATGCAGAGATTAACGTGTAAGGCATGGCGAGAAGAAGACAGCAACATTCTTCTTGCACTGCCTTCACCACATTAAAGCGCATTTCACTGCCAGGAAGGGTGTTAACCAAAGCTGTACAAATAACTACATCTCTGCAGAATGTTTCATTTTCAAGTGTTCTTGATTTAAATTTAGCTCAGTCTCAAAGATCTATCAATAAACAGACACATTTCATTTTGACTTTCTAACGTGTCTTTCATTTTAAGCCCAAATTGATCTGATCTGGTTATTCCATGCCTATGGCTGTGCCCATCCTGCTTCTCTCTTGATTTCATACCTTGCAGGTTGTGCTATTGGAAGTGGTCTCCATTTTTGCAGCTGCGTCCTTCCACTTCAGGATGGTGTCTGTGCTAAATGGCTTTTACCAGAGCTGAAGTATCAGAATGATACACAGAAGGTACTTGGCCTGTCTCCCAAGCTGTTTGCCTCCTTCCTCAGTCATTATGTGTGATCCACAAGGATCACAGACTGGCATTTTTATTGTTCTACAGATCATGTCCAGTTTGCACCTCAGATTTCTGAATAATACTGAATTCTGCTTTCTCTTCACACTAGTGCTTTTTTTTTTCCCCTGAGCAGCTCTGTTCCTGACTACAGCAATCTCCTTTCCAGTAGTGGCAAAAACAATCTCGCTGCTCTAGCCCAGAGGCAGATGTCATCCTAGATTAGATGTCATGGCTCCATCTCTGCTCCTGTTCTTGCATCTTCCAGGGATTTCTACTTTAGTCACCGGTGCATTCAGGAAATGTGTGTCCAGATGTTGTTGCAAAAAGCAGGTAGTCACTTTGATTGCCTCAGCTTTCTCCAGTCCTCTCATAAACTGCTTGCCTTATTGCCCTGTTCTGTGTGCTGTTGGTCAGAGCTGCAGCTTTCACTGCCTGTTTGCCACATTTAAGTAGAATGTCTTCATCATTTGTGTTCAGGCACACACTTGTAATCCATTAAATATCTGCAAGACCACCTCTCTTGTCCACAGTATTATCTTATGACCAAAACCAAAAGAGAAGCTTTTCCACTCTCTCTCATGGCTCTGCATTTCTGGTCCATCTCTAGCAGCTACTTCAGTGCTGGAAGAGGGAGTGGGTGTTTTGCTTGAGTTTATTTTTACACAGTGAGTGGCTGCACAAGCCCTAGAGCTGTTCAAGGGCTGTAGTTAGACCAGTATTTCTGACACTATTGAGAGTTCAGATTTAAACCTATTCACTGCTATCCTAGGACTGCTCCTTTCATGCTACTCACTTTCATTTTCTACTTACTTTGTTCCCCTGTTGCTTCATCTTAAACTGAAATGATCTCTGTCCTGGGCTTGGAGCTACCTGTCTGTCTTGTACAGCCTGAGGCTTAACAGGGCTCTTATTGATGGCATGGGGCCCAGGGCCCTGTTAAAGCACAGCTCTTGAATTCAAACTCCCTTGCCTGCCCTCCCTGTGCAATGCAAGCCCCCTCTGCCTGCAGGGCTGGTGCTCAGCTGTGAGCAAACTCTCCTGGGACTCGGCTGAGCAAACTGTGTGAAGTGACTGTAACCCACTTGAATGAGCAGGACATGCTGGCTGCTGCTGCAGCCCTTGGGTGGCACCTTCCAGTTCTGCTGCAGCTGTGCAAGCCCTGGAGAGCACCGATTCCCACCTTGCTTTCTGCTGGGGCTTGGTGGCTGGAGCACAGTGCTCATCTTGGAGAAAGTGGCTGAGAGGCAATGGAGACAAGGGGGTTGGATGCTTCTCATGAGAAGGCTGAGGTTCTTCTTGTTTTCATCCCCTTTGGGGGTCTTCACACAACTCCCTGTTTGCTAATTACTGGCTTTCACCTGCAAAATAAGGATATCCCTGTAAGCCTCATGTACTTTAATTGTGAATAGCAAGCATAACAGTGCAGCAGTTGCCAGTGATTGAGAAGAATAGGGATCAAGTCCTTGTTTTGACACAAGTGTGGTATTTAGGCTGCCATCTCTAAACAAACATATCTAAACAGTTCAAAGTGTTCTGCAAGGTTTTGATTGTTATGAAGTGGCTTTCCTGGGGGGCTCCCAAAACTTCTGTTCCTGTGTTGAGCCTGATCTCCAGATATATGCTTTTTTTCCACCATTGTGTTCCAATCCCAGCCTGAAATCAGGAGGTTTGAGTGGTTGAAGTATGACCTCTGTGTTCCCTGACTAGCTGCACACTTGGGCTCTGCATGTATTTTTCTTTATGTATCTGCTTGTTCTAATTAGGATCAACCTCTAGATGAAATAAAACTGACTTGTGTACTTGCCCAAACTGTGAGGATTTGGAGTTCAATGAAGTGTGGTGCATTTCTCTTTAATGTTTCCACAACTCTGTGGTATCTGGCTTCGGCTGGGATCAATAGCAAAGGTGCCAAAATAAAGCAGGAGTGGCTGGGGTTGGGATTTTCCAAGCCTCACAAAGAAAATATAAATGTAAGAGGGCCTGTTGTTAGCTGGAGTGTTTTCTTAGTCACTGTGTAATGATCTGCCTTGAGGGAATCCAGCGGTCCAGATCAGCACAGAGCATCTTTTTCCTTCCAGCCCCTTTGGGAAGCTTTGTGAGGATAAGCAGGGGACTTTATTTGAAATATTAATCTTTGTCTCAGAGGCATTTGGGCTCTTAAAATGCTGAGGAAGTCACACAGTAAGACTTCTTTTTTTTTCCCTCTTCTTCTTGTCTCTGGAGAGACAATGAAGTAGCTACTGAGTCCTTCTGCTTGGAAAGAGATGTCACCCATTGTGGTTCCCAAGGAAGGTCCCTGCCCACAGAGATGTTGCTCAGGTGAAACCTAAATAAGATATTGGCATTTGAGAAACATGCATCACTGCACCACTAGAATGATTGCCAACAAGAAATGCCATAATTTCTCAGAAATTATGCTACATTTCTCTGAATTAAATTATAACAACGGTCCTTGATGGGTAGGAAGCTCACTTTGTTTTGTTGGATGGTTGTAGTGCAGTGTTCAAAAGAGCTCTCAGCTTTTCCTCTCCCATTTTCCTGGGCTGTAACACACTTCCCCTTCACCATCCTGGCTGTGCCTTAACTTGTGTTACCTGAAGATTGCTGTTTTGGGAAGGTGAGTGCAGTCTCCTTGATGGAATAAACAAATGGAATTCATCATATTACTCTCTATTTTGCCTGTTTCTGGAGCTTGCTAAGCAGTCCCTAAAGATTGCAAATAAATAAACTGTGTCAAGGCCTTATCTTGAACTTTATCTTAAACTTGACTTTTTTCCTTTGCAGAAATTGCATACTGTAGTGTCAGCTTTGCAGGGGATGACAGAAACCAGGATCCCAAATTACCATGGCTTGTGGCTAATTCAAGTATTTCACTGTAAGCTGAAGCTGAATTTCCTCATATTCTAATTAGAAATCTTAGCTGGCTGGAAGATGGGATGGTTTCACTGGAAGCATTGGCAGTGCACCTAAACAAGCAGACTTTACATCCTGCTGTTTTCCCCCTACAGAATGTTATTAATTATTGTGATAATATATAGGGGGTGGAGGAATAGTGTCTTGCCCCTGGCAGCTGCAGAGGTGGGAAGCTGGGTTATGCTGCAGGCTTTGGGGCTGGGGGCTGCTGGGCTTTGGGGCTCAGCCCTGTTTAGCATTCTCACTTGTGAGAAGTTAGAGCAAGTTAGGATCCCATGTTTGAAATGACTGTTGGTATCAAATACACTGATCCAGGAATATCTGCTAATATGGGATATGAAAGGGAGGTGACATCCCCTGTATTTCTCTCCAGCTTTTCTCCTCTGCAGGCTTTTGCTTTTCTGTTCAAAAAGGAATGTCAGCTTTGCCGTGTACAACCAGAAATACTGGTTCAGCAGGAGCTGCTGGGTCTTACCAGACTCTTTGGTTTTCTCACTCCAAGTCCAAGAGGTTGACCTTTCTTATTGAAATCTCAGCTTGTATTATTTTGACAGATTAAATCCTATAGATGTCTTATTGTAGTCCAGTTTAGGTGGTCTGGTCCTCATATCCAGTCACCAGTATCTTGACTTGGTGGTCATCCGATTTTTTTTGTTCTTCCCACATGGTATCTCCTCACAGGTGGAGGACAACTATGCAGCCTTTAAAGGTGTATTCACTTCTGCAAGACCTTTGAAAAGAGTGTATTAAATCAAAGTGCATGTGTTGCTTTGCTTAAGAAAGGCTGGTCACCCACACAGAGATACTCATGAGAAGGAATGGGTGCTTGCAGGAGAAGCAGCAAATCTCTGTAAGGCACCCAACAGCAAAGCTGAGGTGAAAACACCATCTGGGAGTGATGTGTGTTTCTGCCAGACAAGGTAAAGTGAATATCTGGTTGAGTGACACAATATCTGGCTCAGTCGTGCTGGTGGTGTTGCAAGCATATTCTTGAAAGCTGGACTTGGCACTGCTTGCTGCCACCTCACCAACATGACTGGGTGTGCTCTGGCTCTTGGCACTGCTACTGGAAATAGGGTGGAATAATGCTGCACAGCAAAT